TGTAGAGAGTGTCCTGTTTTATGAGCAAGTACCTCTAAAGTGATGAACTTGACCTGTACAGGTATATTAGAGCAACTCTATAACCATTTTAAAAGTGGATACTAAATAATCAGTGCTTGCCACAATAGCTCATAAGCCAGTACAGGTAGAATCACTGAAAGACAAACAATAAATTCTAGTCACAGCTTACCCATAGGAAGGCCAATGGATAGCTGATACAGATAAACATCACTAAAGTATTGCCGATAGTAACATGCATGAACAGGATGCTACTGAGTAAATCATGTAAAGAAATCTAACTTTTACTTGTCCAACCAGAGCAGAAGCTATAAATTAATATAAACAAGTTTCTACATTACACACAAAACCCTGCACTTAAAAAAAGAAGTGAAGCACTGTTATTTAGATACTTAAAAAGTAGGTGCAACAATATCAATTATGAGGAAATTTTACCTGTAGGAATAGGCCCAATAATATTCAACATAAGTAAAATCAATAAAGTGTCATATATACAACTATTAATTTGTGCTAACTAATAAGGGCAATCAAGCTTCAATACACCATAATAATTAACGATACTACATGTAGCAAGGCTGTATGATGGCCTGTACAAAAAAAATTCACTGCACTGGTCTCTTTTAAAAAAGAGTTGGTACATAGCTATACCAATGATCTTTATCTGGAATTAGTGTTAGTAGATGGCCTAATAAAGTATCCATGTATAATATACATTGGTATAGAAAAAATTCACCTGTATGATGATACAAATTTCTGGAGAAGTCGCATACATACATGCCAACCCCTGTCAAGGAAAAAGTGTAATCCAAGTGGACAAAAAGAGTAATCTGAGCAGAAAAAGAGTAATCCACATACAGCATTATAAAATTTAATGAGCATATGTACAAAATGATTTATTTACCCCTTTAGTCTTTTAACATCAATAATTGCTTCAAGTTTTCATACATAGCACTTTAGCCTTAAAAAGCATCATACTCTCATAATGCATTTCAAAACACTTTGTTCCCACTAAAACTATGAATGTTTTGCACAATGTAGAGCAATAAGTGCTGGAAATTTGAGCCTAGATCTGAATTGTTTTATTTTTGTTAACAATACTAAACAATTTCTCACTGTCAGCATTAAAATCAAAAAGAACCAATGTTCCTTTCATAATCTGACAAAGAGAAAAATTTATATTTTCCAGTTATTGGGTCTTATAGCTGGGAAATAAGGTGCCACTGCAGATCAACTCTGTCCACAGGAAGTACATTGTCAGGTAGAATGCCAACTTAATACTTCATAAGTTCCAATAATTTATTGGCAGCCTTTCCTGCAGCAAGGTACATCATATGACAAGAACAACCTGATATGTACACTAATGGAGACATTTTTTAAAATATAAAATGCAACTCTTTCATGAATTCCAGTCATCACTGATGCTTTATCAGCTGAAAACCCCATACAGTTCTTATGTTTATTCAATGCATTATCAAGCAAATCAAAAAGTTTTCTCTAGCAAAATCTACTGTTAATTCTGGTAAAAAAAGAAGAGCAATCTGACTTTGCCCTTTTTGTTATCTGAGTTTTTTAAACAGACTGAGTGAAACTTTTTGTCATCATAATCACTACTTCAGTCGGTGGCAATACCAAATGGCCCAATTTTCATGGCCTCTGCAATTTTGAGTGATTCAGTTTCTTCTAAATACCGAATATTAGATGATTTTCTTCTTGCCAGTCTACAGACAAGCGTACTCTTATCTCGTAGTTAGGTAAAAGCCGTCTTTTCTAGAATACAGTCTGTGTGATTATTGGTATGTTAATAAAAATGAGAAAACAAATTATTTTTTTGGAAGCAGGATATACTGAAAATGCGTAATCCGGATACATTTATGCGAGACATAATCATAATGGTTGTCATGTATGCACATAGGCTTTTCCTGCTAGCAACTAAGTGCTATTAAATGTGAGAAGACAACAAAGTGTTAGAAAATTGTAACAGCAGAACTCTGTCAGAATTGGAAGAGAGAAAAGTTGTAAGTACTGATGGAGTATACTTTCCTTTTAAGTGAAAGGACTCCTCCAACTCGGAATGGTGTATCTTCCCAAAATTGTTTCTGGCTTTGTGAGATCTCTGATCTCTCATGGAAAGAGCATGCTTCTTAGCATGAGTGAAATTAGTAAATGATATAGTCATAGGATTTGGTAACAATTCCTGTTCCATGAGATCACTCTGTCAGACTGGCACCTAGGTAGGCAGATAACTTAGTTTTTTATCTAACAGTTTTTAGCCTGGGAGAGCTGGATTTGTGAGGTAGTAGTTCTCCTAGGTTATTAAGACTTGATAACATATTCAAAAAATAATTATTTTACCTGTATGGTACTAACTGATGACAAGTGGTGTAAAACCAGCAAAACACAATATTAAACTGAATAATAATGAATAGATTGCTACATGACTAGCTACGAATAACAATGAATGATGTGAAACTGCCTGAACACAATATCTGACAATATTATTGGTGTCAGTCTTGTGAGTCAAAAACAAACATACAACAGTGAGAAAATGAAAGATCATAACCATATGTTTTTAAAATATATGTAGTTTAAAATGCAAATCTCAAACAATTCTGAAGATGAAATGGGTGAGTGCACCTACCCATGAGTACAGAAGAAAAAAAACACGAACTGAATTACAATCACAGATTTCTCTATTGCCAAGGAGGAAGGAAAATGTAAAGAACACTGCAGACAAAATTGAACAGCATATGCCTGAAAACTCAAAGCGAGCTTAAATTACAACTAAATGTACACAGGACTGCGAGTGTAAATACTCCTACATTAACTTCCAAAATGTTTCAAATTTGATCTGTTTTTTCAAGTTCTAAACATCTAGAACTTTTTAGCTAATGGAAGGATGAATGTTTATTATATGGATGATCATATTTCCCATCCTCGAAGGATAAGCATTGCAACAGTGATGGGGATTGTATTAAAATCATTTTTTCCTTTTTTCAATGACAATGACCTTTGACCATTTTATCTCAAATTCAAAAGCTTCTTACCTCAAGTGCAAGTAAAGAACAAAATCTGTACATGGACAACTCAAGTTACTGTTAGAAAATGAAACTGGTAACAGAATGCTGGAGAACATCATAACATGGTAAGCTCTGCCTATGTCGGGCATATAAATAGAACAATTCATATATGATTTCATGAACTTGTATCAATGTGATTTTCCTTGAAGTACTAAAAGTACACCAAAGCAAGATTTCAATTTCATTAAACTCAGTCTAAATGTTTTATATCAAGAAACTTAGATGCAATTTAAATTTTGTAAAACTTAAGATTTGAAGGTAACCTGTGTTTGGTATTTCAAGATGACAATCAATATTAATGTACTAAAACTTACATTTCAACATATTTATGTTGCAAAATTTTCATGATTTACCAATAATAAAAACATTTCCGCTGGTAATAATTTCATATTTTTCAGGCTATTTTTTTTTACAAAAATGGAATCATCCTGACAAGAGTTATTAATCTTAAAGTTAATCAAACAATGGCAAGGTGTGCTAAGTTACAATTCATGTTAAAACCTGAAGTGTGATTGCTTTATTCACTACAAGGAAAATTTCAAACTGCTAATGACATAAATTACTACCCAGAATGTGGGTTGAATAAAACAAAACAACACAAGATTTCATCTATTCACTTGTTAATATGGCATAGCATATATGAAATGGTGACTACTAATATAAAACGCCCGGTTGTCACAACTCTCCCCATCTAAGTGTAAATATACCCCTGAATGTCAGACCTGCTCCCATCTATCTGGAAATACTAAAGGAAACAGCATACATATATGCAATCATTTAAAAAGCTCTCTTTGACACATTGTAAATAATTTCTCATCCATAAGACCGTGTAGTTTACTTGTAAGATCTAATATGTTCCATATCAGCATACCATACCTATATCACTTTGAATACTATTGGCTACCTTATCACAACTTGACTACATGTAAATGGTGACTTTCACAGAAACATTAAGTTGCAGAATGTTAAGTGTGCTTTTACCTTTTCAAAATGAGTTTTATCATTAACATAGCAAGTCAGGAAAACAATCATTCGCAACAGTAAAACTTTATATCACCTATCTAAATCATCCAATGGAAAAATGTTATCCCCATTCCAGATCTTAAGATATTTTTAGAAATCTTTGTCTAGGTATTTTTATATTTTTGGAACATTATGATGTCACAAAGATAAAAGCATTCAACAATTTTAGAGTTCCTACCACTCGTCATTTTGTCATATTTTGAAATTTAAAAAGATGTGTATATGACTTGTCTACTTACCTGAAGGCTAACATAGTCAAGTGACACAGCTTCTGATATACAGCTAAGTGCCTCCTGCACCGCAGAACCATTCTTAACATCACCAACTTTATCCACCAAGTCACACAGACAGACCTCAGCCGACCTACCAGTAAACTGGGAATTTGATGCCAGGTGAGCAACAAGGTCTATTTTCAGCTTCAGAACCTGGAATGGAAAAATGAAACAAACTAAAGCAAATGTAATGTCTTGTCAATGCAAATCCCCACACATTTTACTGCATATTCCAAGAACCCCATTATTCTGTACCATCCAGGTTACTCACTCACATCCCCAAGAAAGTGTCCATAGAGTTAAAATGCAAAATATGTCACACATATAATGCATGCTCTTGCTATAAATGTGGTCAAAAAAAATCTGAAAACTCCATATCATTTGAAATTTTTGTACCTCCTTAGGACCTCAGGGGTGGGAGCCAAAGTTAATATCCTAACCTTCTTAAGACATCAAAGGTAGCAGCTAATGTTGGCATCCCTCTTGCAGATGGTTGACCTTAGGGTAACATAACTACCATGGATATCCAACAAAAAGTTTAGGAATGAACATGATGACAAATGGATAGATATAAGAGATGGACTGACAAACAGATAAAGCATTCATATTCCACTCTGGTAGCCTGGTGGTTAGACCGTCTGCCTCGGATGCGGGAGGTCATGGGTTTGATCCCCAGTCGAGTCATACCAAAGACTTACAAAAATGGTACTAACAGCTGCCTTGCTTGACACTCAGCATTAAGACTTTAGTGTTAGGACTGGTCAGCCTGGTGTCAGGATAATTTGACTGGGTGGGAAATCATGCTACATGTCTGCAGCATGATGCCCCAGTGCTAGACATCACTATAAACTGCTACACTGAAGATATTGTAGCGAAGCGATATGACTGAAAAATTGTTAAAGCTACATTAAAAATCATAATGACATCACATCACAATACTAACAAAAGAAATTTATTGTCGAATTTGTTCCATTGACAATAATAAGTGGTTATATGGACAAAAGGTTCCTTGTTCACATCGATCCTGTAAATATGAAAAATCTGGATAAAGCAGCGTGAAAGTAGTGAAACAAGCAAATTACTACCTTGTGTGGCATTTTGTACCTATGTCAAGAAGATGATCCATTATGGCATATATGGGTTTATGATATCAGGCCTAACCACCCCAAAAGGTATAGATGTCATCATTCCACCATTTAAATGTAACAATGTGCGATGAACATCATAGTAAAAACATTGCTAGTCTATAGATATGTTGAAAGAGTTAATAGAAAGGATAAAATATTTACGGCTGATGAAAAGTGTGATGCCAATATCCATGGACATTGAGCCATCAAAAATATGAAAATTCATCCAAGACATATTCATATATATGCTGAAAACATGATAGTTAAATTGTATTTAGCATTGCATGCTTTAGATTCTATTTAAATCAAAAGGTTTAATATTGAACACATCCATTCTTTTCACTGTTAAAATGAAAATATATTACTGAAATACTAAGTGGATATTTCAATTGTCAAAGCTGTTCCTGCTACACTTCTGCATGTCAATGACATAATAAGCATTTCATATCCTTGAATGAATGACATAATAAATAAGAGAAATTAAACTGAGTGATAAACAGAGTTACCAGATTTATCTGATATTATCAATAAGTGAGTTGTAGCATTTTCTGGCTTCTTTGATCAAGTAAAAATGTCTTCACCTATATACCTATAACTAATTTATCATTTAAATATCATATGATAGACTGGATGGAATCTAATCCACCTGTATACATTTTAAACAAAACAACAATAAAGAAAAATATTCAATGCAAAATATGTGCCTCTAAGATAACTAATAACATTATTCCAACACACAGGCAGGTGAAGACATGCACTTAAATGTATGTGCCATCAGAAGCAATGACAGCTTTAGTCTACTGTTTGCTCTATGTACTTACCTAAAGTTTTAAGTATGCAGCGGCACATTCTAGTGTACATGGTAGGTAAGTATATTTTCACATCTGTTTATATAGACATTACCTAACCCACCTATGTAAAGGTACATACAAATCAGGAGAATTGAAATTCAATGACTTCATTTCTGTTTTCCATGACTACCCATATTATCAACTGTTCTACTTCATTTACAAATCTAAATACAAAAAACAAATACAAAACAATTAGAAACAAATGAATGAAATATGAAAGGCAAATGATATTTATAAAAAAAATCATTATAACTGGACCACTGTTAACCACTGATCTTTAGCTTCTGTACTTTCTCCTACAGCTGCAACTCCAACATTTTCTCTTTAGAGATGCTGCCAGGGTTTTATCTAATGGGAAATAGGGGGCTCCCAACTGTCACCAAAATATGGGGGGGATAGTAAACAAAAAGGAAGGGGAGGAGGAACTGTCATAGTTCAATAATAATAATAATAATAATAATAATAATAATAATAATAATAATAATAATAATAATAACAACAATAATAATAATAATGTGAACTGAGTACCTAACACTTCAATATCCATCTGTCTTCCAGCTTCATTCAGTTAAGAGTCCTATAGAAATCAAAATCTCCTTGTAATGATCAGTTTGGTTTCAAAAGTACTCTTCAAGAAAGGCCACTCCTCTAACACCACCAGCAGCAAATATTACTGTCTGATTCCCTATGTCAGGTTTTCGTTACTAAAAGTATTGGCTGAAGTACATATATCACCAAGGTTAATATTTTATCATTAACTTCAACGTTTACAGGAAACAGAGTCAGCAATGTTTTGTACTTCACACAGCAGTTGAATTTTGTCCTTGATGATTTTGACTGGTTGTAATTGTCCAGATCATAACATGGTCAGCATAGGCTAAATATAGATTTGTAGATTAATAATACACAGTGAGAAATTAACCTTGAACAGAACATGGTACCAAAGACCAAAAACAATCATGTGACAGTACATGTATCAATTCCTTTATAAACAATGCATTTTGTTGACTCTACAAAAGTTTTATGTGCATAGTTAAAGTTGAGTATTGAACAATTAGCAATACAGGAATAAATGGTTATAAACTATAACTTGTGATTACATAAACAGAGAATTAATACTTTCAAAGAAAAAGTAAAAGTTATTTGACTTGATGACATTGGGGAGAGTTCTTGCTGAAAAATTTTATGTCAGGAAGAATATATGAGTAGAATTAAAGAGACAATATTAAAAATGACATTGTTTTATTTTTTTAAAATTTGTAATGAATTAAAAAAGTGTGATCCATATACAGGACATTGTAAAATGTAATTTGGTGAAAAAGATATATTGATTATACCAAAAGCATAATGGCTGGCATGTATGTCAACATGATGTATCTACTGCACTTCCCTTTATGTTTAATTTAAATCACTTCCCTTGTCCTGGAACACACATCAGCATATCAATTACTATTTAGTGCCAAGCTAATTCCCCTGTCCTGGAACACACATCAGCATATCAATTACTATTTAGTGCCAAGTCAATTGAATGTCAATTATTATTCAGTACCAAGAAAAAAGCTTCCCCAACGGACACACAGGAGCAGATAGATTGCAAACCTGCAACTTTTAGGTTTCAAGTCCAGTAATCAAATACTGAGCCAACATAGCTCCATTCAATGGTAAAAATTCAAATGAAATGCAAATAAATAAATAAACCTGATATTACCTGAAAATTGGTTTCTTTAAGTCCTGGTTTTTTGCATATTATCCTAACAAACACCTGGCATGGAATCTGGTCTCTGTCCATTTTTTTCACAACCTGAAGAGGTAAGATATGGTTTAAGACACTCCAAACCTTTACATCTTTTAATGACAGCAATTTTACTTTTTTGTAAAAATATGTGCATCTCAAAGTTCCATCTGTAAATGATCACAATCATTCCATGATAAATAAGTGAATATCAAAGACAGTCCGAGTTGTGATAAAAAAATATGAAAAGAATTAATGAAGGTATAAATATTTTTATTCTCTATCTAAATCTACTACTAAGTATATTTAAGTAAAACTCATTAACATTACTATTTCTTTATTATTAACAAAATGTAAAGATATAAACAATACAATTTAGACTGACCTGAAGAGTCTTCCATTCCTAATAGTGACTGTCAACAAAGATACTAATGAATACCAAATATGCTGATTTGGTAAGCAATTATATATTAATGGCAGAAAATGTGTGCCCAATCTGTACTCTTCTTGTACACTTCTCTAACCTAATTCCATGTAATTAAATAAATGAAAGTTCATTGGAATGTGTTTACATACCTTACCTGATTGCCTAAGTATTATAGTAGTGTATTGCACTCCTTGGCATTCTTCGACTTTGTGGCCCCAGGCTGGGTTGAGTCTCTTTAAGAGGGCTCTTGGCCCAGAGCTGGGCCTTCATGTAGAGAAAGAAACCAGAAAATCCCCGGAAAGAACCACTGACCCACGAGAAGCTACTGGCAAGCTTTGTCATATATCCACATTCACCAATTCTTAGACTCGAACCCAAGCAGACAGAGGTAAGAGGGGCAGTGATCCATAACGGAGAGTGCTTTAGACCACTCAGCCACTCGGGGCCCCTCAAACCTTACCATTATGCACATTTTCTGTATTTAAGTATAAATGATGAAAAATCTAATACAAAAAGCACTTAATGTCATTATCACATTTACCACTTCATTCGCTGTTAACAAAAGGCAAAACAAAAAGTAAAATAACAAAAATACCTCAGTGAAATTCTCCATAGCAGACAGCCTTTCCTTCCAGTTAGCACTGGCAAGCTGATTCATTACATCTGCTGGGAGAAGCGTAGCTGCTTTTTCCTCTGCAGCCTCATCCTAAAAGAAAACCAGAAGAGGATGCATGTTACAAAGTAAGCATTCTATCTGCAAACTGTGTCTACTTTCATACATATGTACAGGCATCCAGTGGTGTCATCTATGATAATGAGTAAGTGGTGTAAATGTCAAAAAGTAAGTTTACACCATGCTGTGCAGTACCACATTATGGGTCAAACCTTAATCTTATTCAGGTTATGTACCAGTTCCTCAGTTTCATCTTTAAACAACAACAGGTACATTACATAGACTCAAATCTGTTGGCATATTCTGCAACATTAGATCTGGCTCTATACAGTTTTGTAGTTGGATTTGGTACAATTAAAAACAAAAACACACCTTAACATTGCAACTACAGCTTTAATATGTAGCAATTGTTGTCAAAATTAGCTACATTGTCTTGTTTGATTTGTTTAAGAAAGCAATTCACAAAACATGTTTAGTTTTTATTCGTTTTTGTTCTCTTCTGACAAGTACTTCATTAATTTTCATTTTCCTCATTATTCTTACACTAATGGCTAATTCTGAACACTCTTCAACTCCTTTGGAAGCTGCAGCTCCTTTTTTGGCTCCCTTTCCTTTACCCTTTGGTGGGCCCCCTGTTTTCTTGGGAGGCTGTAAAGAAATATTTACATTACACAATGTTAATTTATTTCTTCCTACAGACTGCTGACCAAAAAAAGTATAAAAGAATTCAAATCCAGGAAAATTTGAAACATTGCTATAATGGAATCAAAATTTAACCAGGTGATCTATTTAAATATCAAACATGCATAGCAAATTTCATTTCTTTATTAAAGTTCAAAAACTTCTAAAATGTGCAAACAAAAGGCAAATTATT